CGATTCCCTCAGTTATTTCTTAGGTCAGATATTGCTGTCAATAAGAAAAGTAAAAGGCTTAATTGCAAGTTTGGTCACTCGAATTGCTACAAAATTTCACGTTTGCCACTCAAATTAATTTATTCCATTTATAGTCACTTAAATTAGGTTAACAGTCCAAGTTTGGTCACTGGCCGTTAGTCTCCGTTAACTTTTGCTGATGTGGCGGTCAACTCTTATAGTTGACCGTTAAATGAGTGACGTGGCGATTAAAAAATAATAAAATAATTTAATTTAATTATTTTTTATTTTCCACCTAATTATTATAAAAATAAAATAAAAACCTAATTCCTTTTAATTGTTATTTTCCACGTCGTCTGGTACCTCGCGGCGTTCTCGATCTCCTGCTTCAAGGCGCTGACCCTGGTCATCAATAAAGGGCTGCGCCGCTGAGGTTGCAACTTGAATAAAAACCAGAATATGAAGATGCATAATGGTACAAGTGAAATCAAAGTCAAGTGATTGGAGGTGAGGGAGGCAACCTGAGCCAGGATTCATTTCAGGGGTCAAGGAGTTACCAATTTGGTCCCTTTGCATCAGCTGCTGTGTTCCGAGATAGTGGTTCTGCAGGGGCAGTTCCTCAGGTTTGTGATTGGGAGGCTCTGCCCTCCACTTTCAGCCCTCAATATCATAATCAAGGTGAAAATCCCATCCATTTCCCTCACTAGCTTAAACCAGACTAAACTTGGACAGTAAATTCGATTCTTCCCTTGTCCTAATATGGCTATTTGCTTTACAGTTGCTGCAGCTCTGAAAGACCGGTTTGTTCACTACATGGAAGCATGGCAATTATTGTACACAGAATTTTCAGAGAAGAAACCAATCCAACAAATTACCTGCTTCATTCGCTTGATGTCCCAGCAACTAGACATTCTACCAAAAAAAAAAACTAGCCATTGCAAATAAACCATCAAGAAGCTATTGAATCGCTTACTCCTTCAATTGTCACCAACCAAACAACGAAAAAGCTACCAGAAGTCCAGAAGCAGACCCTTCAAACGGCGCCCCAAAGAACCATATTACCTAAACTGAAACCCCTCACGCAACTAGACCATAGTCTTAACAAAGCTTTCAGATATGGAGAAAAGGAATTGGATTTTTGAGGCGGAGACAGAGGTTCAGCGGATGGACGACGCGGGGGTTGAGCGGCTCAGCCCTTTATTGATGACCAGGGTCAGCGCCTTGAAGCAGGAGATCGAGAACGCCGCGAGGTACCAGACGACGAAGGAGCCGAAGACGACGCAGCAGCTCATCAACGGTGGAAAATAACAATTAAAAGGAATTAGTTTTTTTATTTTTATAATAATTAGGTGGAAAATAAAAAATAATTAAATTATTTTATTTTATTATTTTTTAATCGCCACGTCACTCATTTAACGGTCAACTATAAGAGTTGACCGCCACATCAGCAAAAGTTAACGGAGACTAACGGTCAGTGACCAAACTTGGACTGTTAACCTAATTTAAGTGACTATAAATGGAATAAATTAATTTGAGTGGCAAACGTGAAAATTTGTAGCAATTCGAGTGACCAAACTTGCAATTAAGCCAAAAGTAAAATAAAAAGACTTCATCACATGTAAGTAAATTTCTTCTGGTGGAGATGCTCTCTCTCTCTCTCTCTCTGCCATCTATCAACATCATTTTTACTATTCCTAGTTTCTGCCTAAGAAATTATGAGGGAGCCATATTCAACTCGCCTGTATCAAACCATGTAACAAAATGGTCCCCTGTCCTAGCTAGGGTTTCTTTTCTCTTCTTCGTTTTATTTTTTTTTGGGTATATCTGTTCTTGTTTCCTTTACCCGATTCTTTAATGGCGGACGGTGCTTTCTTTACTCCTTTCCCCACTGCGAGACAGACAGAAAGGGAGAGCTGTGGTTGAAGAGAGTGAAAAGGGTCCCCGGCTTTACCCCAAAGCTTGCAGGACCAACCTACATAATACAAGCCAAAACGTAAAACGACACAAGCTGAAGCTACTATCATCATCAATGCTATTTCTCACCAACTTGCTGTTAGTGGATTGGGCTCTTCATTATTGGCCCATCATGTACCATACGTGTAGAAGTCCACTAGGGTTTATTTCCCTTCTGTAGCCGAGAATTGTAGTGTGCTAAGCCATGTATATATACGTGTAACATACTAACATACCACCCAAAACTCTACGAGAGAACAAAACCCTAATAATATTTCAGCTCGGAGAGGTAATACTCCGTAAATCACGTAAATCGGTGTTGTTATTAGTTCATTTCAGCTTTGCTAACGGTGATAGTAGTCATGATTAATGGAATAGTAAAACGATATAGATTTAATACTGGTTAAACTATAAAAATACGAACCACTTACTATATTGATCCATACTCGGATTCGATTACATTGAGTAAAATGATAAATCGTTAACTTAATAACTTCTGTTGTAAGTAAAATACTATGAAAGAATCCTGTACATTACAATCAATGGTTGTAATAATAACTAATAAGTCGTGAGATTAGGAATTGAACAATGAAACATACACTAATAAAGAAAAAATGCTCTCGATGAGAAATACAAAATGCTACTCATGCTTTTTTGTTTTTTGGCAAAATAACTCATATTATTGAGAAAATGAGATAGATTAGAGTCACATCACTGCAAGCAACCAAGAACTGAAATTGAACCTACCAAACTAGAAAACAATGAAATGGTTTTTTTGCCATCAGATGTATCACTCTATTCTCTGACCGACCAACAAAGCGAACACAAACGAAATGAAAGCACTGCAATAACAACTGGATAAATTCAAAGATCGCTCTTCCACAGACTTCTTGTCGATCACCAGCGGCCACTTTGTCCAATACTGTACCTTCACATCACTTGCAAAAACCACTTGCTAGATGCAAAAGAAAAGCGCCAGACAATCGCATCCCGCAACGCCAATTAATAGTTCCACCAAATATTGATCCTCCATAGCACCACCCGTTGCCAACACTGTGCCTGAGGAATCCTGTAAAACCCACCAATCCGCTCCATGGGAACCCTAGGATCGCACCATCCAATAACACCCAAAAAGCTCTGGGTGGAACACCCTCTCACCCCCTCTCCTTTCTCAATCCGCGGGGGGTGGGGGGTTGAGGGGGCGCTAAAGAACCCTGGACCTGGCTTGAATCATTTTGAGAGAAAAACCGAGACAAAAAATCAAGGTAGAACATAAGGTGGAATCAAACACAACCCAATTTATTGCTTTCCAAATATGCTAAAAGAGAGGCACCAATTTCATAAAGTCCATCAAATTAAGAACATCCCGTCGATCTAAAAGCCTTCGCCAAAATAACTCAACACAAGTCACAGGAAAGGTGTCACAAAGAGGAAAAAGCCCTGAATCTACCCATAGGTCCATTGCCAACAGGCAGTGAAAGAATAGATGCTCCAGAGTTTCCTCCTCATCTAGGCAAGTCTGACACAAGGCAACACCTTGCACTCCACAGGTCGGCAAGGCCTCTCCCATAGGCAGAACTCTACCCAAGATCTGCCATAGGAAAAACTTGAACTTGAGAGGAACATGAGCCCCCAAACATCTTGGCCAGACCGCAACATCCCAATGACGGGCACTTTGTTTGATGTACCCATCTTGACTCTGACAAAACTGAGCAGCCAAATGATAAACTGACTTGACAATGTAAACACTAGATGTCTCATGGTGTCATACCAGCCCGTCAGGGTTTTCCAAAGTAGATAAGGGAATAGACTGAATCAGGAAATTGTTTCTTCATCAAATAACTTACGCAACCTAACAACATTCCAGATCATCGTCAGACACCACGTCGTCGGTCAAAATTTTGACGGTTGAATACTAACGATTAAAGTTAACGGAAATTAAACTTTGAGACATAATTGACGCAGGATAAACATAGAGGTACAAGCAGTGGCGTAGCCAGAATTTTATTCAAGAGGGTGCCATAAAAATTTACATATGCAGTCTCCTGTTTCATATAGTAAAATGATTCTAAACTATATGAATCGTTCAGAATATTAATATTTCACACTTAATGTGTCCCACCAAATAGTCATTCACAATTTTAGTTCACTTGATGCGTAGGTTGGTCAATTGTTTCATTGCATAATATGGTATCAACTTGTGCACTGGATTATAGTTGTAACGGCGAACAAATTTTTTTTTATTTCATAAAACTCATGGTTTAGAGTTTGCTATTCATTAAAAAAGGGGTTTGAAAACTCGAGAGATTGCTAAGCCTTCTATCTATTGTGTATATCTGTCTAGAAACAAAAGATAAGTATGATGAGATAGTGTGTCGACGAGAATATGAAGCGCGGTTAGTAAATAGTATATGATCTATGATTGAATTTCCACCAACAATTCAAGTTATTAATTTGGATCAACCCATTTTTGATATATTAGTATCAGACCATTATGTGATCGAGATGTTTTTGTTCGAATCCCAATAACCCTTGATCGATGTGCAAATTTCTAGTCTATTTGAGTCATGGGGTCTCTGCTCTGAACTTGAGCGTGACAATATTCAATTTGCATAACTCTATCTCCCTCTCTCTCTCTCTCTCTGCTATGCATACATACATGCAGGACCACACTTAGTTCCTCTCTCCCGTGCTGGCGGTTTCATCGTTGTATTTTAGTATACTTGCATTTTTTTTTTCTGGCTTTGCATCTCGTAATTATTATAGATCCATATATGTCGATCTTCTCTATCTTTATTATCTTTAACGTTTGGTTTCTCTCACACATGATCTCGTCCAACCAATATCCCTCGCTTCAAAACCCTAGCTAGAAGGCAAGGAATCATGCATATCATTATTAACAACTTTAAACGAAAACCAGAGAAAGAAAGAAAAAGGAACCTAACCTTGCATCCCCACCCACATATATCCCGGCTCCTCACCTCTCCCTCCTCTCTCTCTATTTATACACCAACCTCTCTCCCTAGCTTCTCTGTTCCTCCACACCCCAGAAACTAAAAGCGCCTTCATTCATCGGCAGAGATGCAGCGTGCGCCATTATCAGCAGTTGAAGCTGCCAGCATGATCTCAGCTTTTCTCTCCTCTCTTTCCCTTGAGCCTTGAGGGAAAGTTCAGATCATGTGGCAGTTTCACCTGTTGCTGGCTCCACGAACCAACCAACCAACCCAGATTCAGATCTCAGCTTTTCACAGAAACACCACACCAACAAACCCTAGCTAGCTAGTTCCAAAACCCTAGACGGAAGGTAATTCATTATATATCATGGGTTTGTTTCTTCCCCAGATTTTCCTTCTGCGGGTTATAATAAGTTGGTAGTGCTTTTTTTGGGTTTAGGGTTTATTGTCTTTTCACCCTGCTAGGGTCTCGAGTGCTGTTTGTTTGTTCCTAATTGTTGTGTTTCCTTTCGTTTTCGATATCTTTCCATGGAGATAAAAGTGGGGGAAATTTCCCTGTGTGTGTCTCTAGTGTTTTTTTTTTCCTTTCTCGACGCCTTCTCCTAGATCTGCAGGGCTCTACTGCTATTTGTTTTTTTTTTCCCCAAGAGTTGAGATTTGAGCCTACATACATATGTGGGATTTCCTTCTAGTCTAATTACAGTTTCAATTAAAGTTTCTCGATCTGCATGTGTGCATATATCAGATCTCATAGGTACAGTGGGTATATATATACTTGGATTCCACACAAAGCTTTTTCTCATATACACATCTAGTTTTAGGGAAAACCATACTTGTGGCTCTCAAGTGTAAATGGTGAAATGAAGCACTTGAATAGAAGGAGGAAACAAAGTATACCATTAATACAGATTTATTCAAAAACTAGTAAAGTAAAAGAGGATGCAGTAGTACACGTTAACCTAGTCACGAGAAATGTACAAGGAGAAGAAGAAAAGTACACCTGAACATATGAGAGATGCATGCAGGGACTATATAGTTACTTTTACTGTAAATTGGTTTCTGTTTTTCTTCTTCTTTATCTGTAAATTGATTTTGTTCTGTGTTCAGTACATGACCACAATTGCACCCCGACAGAGCTTCTTTTGTGAATGTCAGAACAATTGGCACTTGTTTTTAATTAGTTAACTTTTCATTTGGTTAGACAATAGGGATTGAGAGTACTGCTGGATTATGAATGGTAATGGTTAGACTTGTTGGATAATTTGATAAAATTTTCATGTCATATGAACTATTGAGTGATTTAATGAATTCAATTTTGAATTTGGGTTGGATTTAAAATGAATCCAATTTGGGTAAACTCATTTGGGTTAGACCCAAATTGGTCTATTAGTGTGCAGATGAATATACACACAAAAAATAGTGTCGACCATCTCATTGAATGTCTTCAACCCAGTTTCACTTTTTATTGTTTATCTTTCCACCTTTTTTTTGTTTCATAACCAAAAATAAGACAAAATTGCATTAGAATTGGGTATTTATTTCCGTTGAATTGAGTATTTATTTCCGTTTGGATACCCAATGCTATGGTTCAATTTATATCCAAATCCAATTTGACCAATACTAAAATGGCTTCAAGTGGACAATACCTAATATTGAATATTTTTGTCATCCTCCATGTCGTATGGGCATCGTCAGTCATTCTTTGTAAGCATGGCTATTTGGTTCGGGCTTTTTGGTTTTATCCGAAACCGGACCGTATAGCTCGGATAAAAATCGGACCGGGACCGGATAACAAACAATCCAATCCAATCTTCGGTCCTAGATTTGAGGTAAAAAAAAATCTTTAGGGACCGGATCGAAAACCGGATAAAGACCGGATAAGAGAGGCCAACACCCAAAATTTAACCTCTTCACTCTTTCAGGGCTTAGGCCACTCAAATCTCCCCCTCATGCCACTCAATTCTTCACAAGGTCAATATAAAATCAAGACCAAATTGGGACCGGACCGGATCAAGACCGGACTGTATCCAATCCAATCTTTGGTCCTTATATTCTCGAAAAGACCGGACCGGGATCGGATCAATTCAAGCCAATTTAACCGGACCGGACAACCACCCCTAATTCTTTGTGGAGATAGTCATCAACAACGCAGGTTACTGGTGTTTAATATCTACCCAATAATTTATAGACGTTCTTCACCAACACCCTCTCCATTCTGATTTTCCATTAGTAGCTTTCCCCCTTCCCAATAATTAAGAAAGGATACATTTTCGGTCCAAAATTCTATTGTCGAAGGACCTTATAATCTTAAAAGTCATATCAAATCAGAAAAAAAAATACTAATGAAATAATCTTGATTTATGCAACAGTAATGGACAATTTAATGGAATAGTAGTCATGATTTAATCAATAATAAATGAGAACGTAATAACATTGTTTAAAAAATAAATTAAATATTCAATGTGTATTACACCGATACAATATAGGACAAAATTCGGAGGTATATTGTAGATTTCCATTTGAACACTTAAAACTTATTGATATGATTTTTTCTTAATATTTTTTCAATACACTAACTTGACTATCAATAATATTTATGCAGTCTCACCGAGAATATGGTATGACAAAAGATTATCCGTGCAAACAATATGCATGAAATTGATCATCCGAGCAAAGGACTAAGGCTAAGTGGTATGAATCCTTAGAAAATTTGTTAGCTTAGAGCCGAGTAGATGGAAGCAATTAATTTTAGTGGAGGATTACAAACCTTAACAAATTGTCTAAAAAACATGCACAACATTCTCAAAATAGAGATCAAGAGTGCTTAACTAAGACTTAGACGCGAGGTAAAACGAAATTATCTCAGAAGGAAATCGTTAGATGTATCATTTGAGCTTATACCAATGTCTCTTATCAGTGTTTCTATTTGGTAATTGATAGTATGATAACTTACTGCTTTGTTTTTACCCCAAGTTTTAGGTTGTCCGTCAATTATTTTGTCTTGTATTATTTGTACACTTTAATTATTCACTTTCATATGTCTTGAAAAACATTGCAAATTGATATCGATAAATGTGCCACAAAATATAAGAATTTTTTGTCAAGAAAATTTTCAAAAAATATTTGAAAAATATTGTTTGCAAATTAATCACTTCTCAAATTGAGCTCCAAAGTAGGATTCACAAACACGTTCCCAGACTTAGCCATTTTCAGGCAGTTTCCCAGTTTTGGCATAGCCTTTTGATCAGGTTCAAAAATGGTCTTCTGGACTTCATATCGAGCTCCCAAATACTTTAATGTGTAAAGGGACACTTCAACTTCAAAACAAGTCATTAATCTTCAATTTCCATCTAGCCAATTGTAAGATATGAATCTCCAAAGTAGGCACCATGAAACTGTTTTTACACTGAAACAACATATTAGGTCAACCTAATCCTATATGAGGTCGACCGTGCATGTCACCGTGACATGCATGTCACCGTAGCAAAGTCCTGAATCATATTATTGAGAAAATGAGATAGATTAGAGTCACATCACTGCACGCAACCAAGAACTGAAATTGAACCTACCAAACTAGAAAACAATGAAATGGTTTTTTTTGCCATCAGATGTGTCACCCTATTCTCTGACCGACCAACAAAGCGAACACAAACGAAATGAAAGCATTGCAATAACAACTGGATAAATTCAAAGATCGCTCTTCCACGGATATCTTGTCGATCACCAGCCGCCACTTTGTCCAATACTACCTTCACATCACTTGCAAAAACCACTTGCTAGATGCAAAATAAAAGCGCCAGGCAATCGCATCCCGCAACGCCAATTAATAGTTCCACCAAATATTGATCCTCCATAGCACCACCCGTTGCCAACACTGTGCCTGAGGAATCCTGTAAACCCACCAATCCGCTCCATGGGAACCCTAGGATCGCACCATCCAATAACACCCAAAAAGCTCTGGGTGGAACACCCTCCACCCCTCTCACCCCCTCTCCTTTCTCAATCCGCGGGGGGTGGGGTTGAGGGGACGCTAAAGAACCCTGGACCTGACTTGAATCGTTTTGAGAGAAAAACCAAGACAAAAAATCAAGGTAGAACATAAGGTGGAATCAAACACAACCCAATTTATTGCTTTCCAAATATGCTAAAAGAGAGCCACCAGTAAAGTCCATCGAAGAACATCCCGTCGATCTAAAAACCTTTGCCAAAATAACTCAACGCAAGTCACCAGAAAGGTGTCACAAAGAGGAAAAAGCCCTGAATCTACCCATAGGTCCATTGTCAACAGGCAGTGAAAGAATAGATGCTCCAGGAGATGAATGAGATAGAAACCAAGTCTTAGGGTTTCGCTTCCATATATTAACACGGATCACTACTCGTGTTCCATCCAACGATACCATGTCTTTGTGAGTATGCCTTCTCATAAATGTCCTGCGAGCGAGTAGTGATGAAATGGAATGTTGCAGAACGTTGGCATCCATTTGATAGCTAGGTAGATTCTTGATTTTCCAATAACAATAGGATGACATAATACGAAATTCACAATGCAAATGGAATTATGTTGAAGTAATGGTTTCGTAGTGGCAGCATCAGATGCTACAAGGAAGTATCCATGGAAGGATATAGCAAGTTCTGCAAAGGAAAAGGAGACGATCCAGGAAGAGAGAAAAGATGCTTACATGAGAGTGGACATTGTTGCCATATATTGCTGTAAATAAAAACCAGTAAAAAAAAAATACTCACATGTAAGTAAATTTCTTCTGGTGGAGATGCTCTCTCTCTGCCATCTATCAACATCATTTTTACTATTCCTAGTTTCTGCCTAAGAAAAAATGAGGGAGCCATATTCAACTCGCCTGCATCAAACCATGTAACAAAATGGTCCCCTGCCCTAGCTAGGGTTTCCTTTTCTCTTCTTGTTTTTTCTTTTGCATATATCTGCTCTTGCAATTGTTTGCTTTCCCGATTCTTTAATGGCGGGATGATGCTTTCATTTCTTCTTTAATTCCCCACCGCGAGACAGACAGAAAGGGAGAGCTAGCCGTGGTTGTGAAATGGGTTGAAGAGAGTGAAAGAGGTCCCCTGCAGAAGCAGGACCAACCTACATAACCACACAAAAGCCGAAAAGGAAAACAACAACAGAAGCTGAAGAGCTACTATCTATCATCATCAATGCTATTTCTCACCAACTTGCAACACTCATATCGGTCTCATGTTTCTCCAAACTCCAGTGAATTATAGTTGTAACAGAGAACAAATTTTTATATAAAAGTTATGGTTTAGACTTTACTACTATACATTAAGAGGGTTTAAAAAAAAACCTAACTTGAAGGTCATTAGTTAAGTTCTTTTAATTATCTATTTTTACTTCTTTTTTTTTCATTTTTACTTCCTTTTCTTTCCTAAATTTCATAACTTCTAATATGTGTATTTTTGTTGTTATGTTGTCCCATTGAAATCAATTTATTTGTTCGTATTTAGCTTTACATCTTTAGTCATTTCTCTTTCGCTCGAACTCAAATATGAAAATCACGAAGGAATCTTCTAACATGGATTACCATTCTTAAGGGTAATTTGTTGTTTTGTTGAAATCGACCTCTTTGTTTGTATTTGATTTTTCATTCCTACTCATCTCTTTCTCGCTCTCCGTTAAATGGCGAAAGTGGCATCAGATGCAGAAGCTACATTCTTCCGTATTTTATCTCTTAATTCTTTTCTATTTCAAATGCGGAAACTTCTTAAATTCTCTAATTAACAATTGTCGAACTCCAAATATGATAATTGTCGTCCTCTGATTCACAACTTCAATGGCCAGCTCATGCAAATTACTATGAATCTTCCCACAACATCTTAGTGATGTTTCTTGCCGTTCTTGAAATTATATGGTATCAGTTATATTTTACTAAATCTTGTATAATGTCACATTTACAATTCTATTTCCACTCACTACAAAGCGCAAGCCTACGGACATATCTCGTATATATAATCAAACATCAATACTATACTATGAACGGTAATCTATATATAACAGCACAAGGAGTACAAGACGAGAAATTTAAGTTTTTAACCCATAGACATAGCTTATGTATTTGCCGGATTTTTCAATAGAAAGCTATGCACATTAGAGAGTCAGTCTCTATTAATGTGGATTAGGTTTATAATTTGCTTTCGGCCCGTTAGGAAATTTCTGCTATTTAAATCGAAAAAAAGGGAACGAGATTGCTAAGCCTTCTATTGTATTTTTCTTTTTAGAAACAAAAGATAAAGTATGATGAGAGAATATGAAGTTGTTAGTAAATGGTATATAATTTATTATTGAATATTTATAAATAATTTGAATTATTTAATTTGTATCAATTAATTCTTGACATGGTATTGGTATAAAATTATTCTGTGAACGAGAGGTCTTTGTTCGAATCACAACAACCTCGGATGCTTGTGCAAATTTCAAAGCTATTTTAGTCTTTTTTTTTTTTTTTGTTTAATTGATGACGGAAAATAGTAACAACTTCTCAATTTTTATAATTTTAATACGATCTTTTCATAACAGGAAAATAAGAATCACTTACCAATTCTATAGATTTTTTGACTTCTCATCTTCTATTCCATTCCATCAATCTCGTAGTGACATTAATTAAGATCCAACCACTCGTGAAATTGTACAAACATGATCAAGATATTAACTAATGTGCTTATGTGTATCCTCATTTAGAAAATAACAAGAAAAGGAAGAAAAGAAGAAGTAGTGGGGCGTGGTGGAGGTGGAAGGCTAGCTCTCTCTTTTTTTTTTTTTTTTGGTAGAAGGAAGGCTAGGTCTCTGCTGAACTTGAGCGTGACAATATTCAATTTGCATAACTCTCTCTATCTCACCCTGGACCACACTTAGTTCCCCTCTCTCTCTCTCTCTCGTGCTGGACGGTTTTCATCGTTGTATTTTTCTATACTTTGCATTTTTGGCTTCGCACCTCATAATTATTATATATCCATATTTATCCATCTCTATCTTTTATTATCTTTTTTTACCGTTTGGTTTCCCTCACACATCTCCCCATTTTCTCGTCCAACCAATATCCCCGACTTGAAAACCCTAGCTAGAAGGAATCATGCATCATTAATTATTATCAAATTTTAAACGAAAAAACATTAAAACAACCTCACCTCCTCAGTCCCCACCCACATATATCCCTCGCCGCCTCTCTCTATTTATACACCTCTCTCTCTCTCTCCCTAGCTTCTCTGTTCCTCCTCACCCAGAAACTAAAAGCGCCTTCATTCATCCATCAGCAGAGATGCAGCGTGCGCCATTATCAGCAGTTGAAGCTGCCAGCATGATCTCAGCTTTTCTCTCCTCTCTTTCCCTTGAGCCTTGAGGGAAAGTTCAGATCATGTGGCAGTTTCACCTGTTGCTGGCTCCACGAGTTAATTAACGACCCAGATTCAGATCTCAGCTTTTCACAGAAACACCACACCAACAAACCCTAGCTAGCTAGTTCCAAGGTAATTCATTATATATCATGGGTTGGTTTCTTCGCCTGATTTTACTTCTGCGGCGGACTATAAGTTGGTATGTACTGCTTTTTTTGGGTTTAGGGTGTGTTGACATTTTTCACCCTGCTAGGGTCTCGAGTGCTGTTTGTTTGTTTGTTCCTAATTGTTGTGTTTCCTTTCGTTTTCGATCTCTTTCCATGGAGATAAAAGTGGGGAAAATTTCCCTGTGTGCAGGGCTCTACTGCTATTTGTTTTCTTTCCAAGAGTTGAGATTTGAGCCTACATACATATGTGGGATTTCCTTCTAGTCTAATTACAGTTTCAATTACAGTTTCTCGATCTGCATGTGTGCATATATCAGATCTCATAGCTACAGTGGGTGCAAGTTTGGCTCATTCAATCCTGATTCCCCTTGGCTTAGTGGATTTCTGTTTGTTTGATGTGATCATTAAACCCTAGCCTTTTCATCTATGCTTGCTAGGGCTGCTGACCCAGTGCACTTCTTACATTTTTTGGGGCCTAAATTATTCATAAGAGAACCGGTTAAACAGTAGACATGCAAGTATGTATGTATACCCAGATTTCTCAGCTCATTTTTATTGTTCCCTTATTTTGAATGAACTACGATGGGCTTCAAATCATGTAACCCATTTAGTTTATGAAAACCATACTTGTGGCTCTGAAGTGTAAATGGTGAAATGAAGCACTTGAATCGAAGGAGGAAACAAAAGTATACCATTAATACCAGATTTATTCAAAAACTAGTGAAGTAAAAGAGGATGCAGTACACGTTAACCTAGTCACGAGAAATGTACAAGGAGAAGAAGAAAAGTACACCTGAACATATGAGAGATGCATGCAGGGACTATATAGTTACTTTTACTGTAAATTGGTTCTGTTTTTTTCTTCTTTATCGATCTGTATTTGCAGGATTGGGGCGGGTTGGCTCAGGGTTTTGTTTTGTTTTGTGTTCAGTACATGACCACAATTGCACCCCGGACAGAGCTTCTTTTGTGAATGTCAGAACAATTGGCACTTGTAATTAGTTAACTTTTCATTTGGTTAGACAATAGGGATTGAGAGAGTGTTGGATTATGAATGGTAATGGTTAGACTTGGTGGATAATTTGATAAAATTGTCATGTCATATGAGTATTGAGTCATCTAATGAATTCATATGTACTTTTAAATTCAGCGGCGGATCCAGAACAGGTTAGAGCACTGGGCCGCATTTAAAAAGCGATGGAGAGGGTGTTGGGTTGTAACCTAATAAACATTGAAATATATACCCAAAATCGAAAATTTACAAGTACTATACGAGCTTTGGATCCGAGAAGGACTGGGCCGTGGCTCGGGGGCGCCCCCCAGATCCGCCGCTGCTTTTAATAATTTTGACTTTGGGTTGGGTTTAAATCGAATCCAATTTGGGTAAACTCATCTGGGTTAGACCCAAATAGGTCTATTAGTGTGCAGATGAATATACACATAAAAAAATAGTGTCAGACCATCTCATTAAATGTCTTCAACTCAATTTCACTTTTTTATTGTTTGTGTTTTCACCTATTTGTTTGTTTCATAACAAAAAATAAGGCAAAATTGCATTAGAATTCGATATTTATTTCCGTTGAATTGGGTATTTATTTTTGTTTGGATACCCAATGCTATGGTTCAATTTATATCCAAATCCGATTTGACCAATACTAAAATGGGTTCATGTGGACAATATCTAATATTGAATATTTTTGTCATCCTCCATGTCGTATGGGCATCGTCAGTCGTTCTTTGTGGAGATAGTAATCAACAACGCAGGTTACTAGTGTTTAATATCTACCCAATAATTTATTGACGTTCTTCACCAACACCCTCTCCATTCTGATTTCCCATTAGTAGCTTTCCCCCTTTCCCTTTTTTTTTATTTCTGAGTGATATCAATGGAAAATAATAGTTAAATACAATTCTACCCAGGACTCCTAAAAGACTCTAAAGAAGCCACCCAAAAAATCAAAAGATTCTAGCTCTACACGAGACAAAAGCAGTGCTTTACGCGCCACTCTATGGGCAGCACTGTTGGCGGATCTAGGTACCGCCCTAAACTCTATACAAACAGACAAAGAGCTAAGGATCTGAAGACACTCTCGTAACACCGGACCACCAATCAAGTCTTCTAAGATGCCTTGACGGACTTGGTTGACGACCACTTCGGAATCACCTTCGACTATCACGTGGGTCAAGGAGATAGCATCCCTGGAAGCTAGAAGCTCTGCCAGATAAGGGTTGACTATTCCTTGATGATGCAACCCAAACGCCAACATCACATGCCCTTCCCAATAATTAAGAAAGCATACATTTTCGGTCCAAAATTTTATTGTCGAAGGACCTTATACTCTTACAAGTCATATCAAATAAGAAAAAAAATTTACTAATGAAATAATCTTGATTTGTGCAATAGTAATGGACAATTTAATGAAATAGGAGTCGTTATTTAATTAATAAAAAATGGGGAACGTAATATTGTTTTTAAAAACAATAAAAATAAATCAAATATTAAATGTGTATTACACCGGTATAAGATAGGACAAAAGTCGAAGGTATATTGTAGATTTCCATTTGAACACGTAGAACTTATTGATATGATTTTTTCTTAATATTTGTACAGTACACTAACTTGACTACCAATAATATTTATGCAGTCTCACCAAGAATATGGTATGACAAAAGATTATCTGTGCAAACAATATGCATGAACTTGATAATCCGAGCAAAGGACTAAGGCTAAGTGCTATGAATCCTTAGGAAATTTGTTAGCTTAGAGCCGAGTATATGGAAGTGATTAATTTTAGTGGAGGATTACGCACACCTTAACAAATTGTCTAAATAATATGCACAACATTCTCAAAATAGAGATCAAGAGTGCTTAACTAAGACTTAGGCGTGAGGTAAAACAAAATTATCTCAAAAGGAAATCGTTAGATGCATCATTTGAGCTTATAGCAATGTCGTGTTTCTATTTGGTAATTGATAATATGATAACTTACTGCTTTGTTTTCAGCCCAAGTTTTTGGTTGTCCATCAATTATTTTCTCTTGTATTATTTGTACACTTTAATGATTCACTTTCATATGTCTTGAAGAACATTGCAAATTGATATCGATAAATGTGTCACGAAATATAAGAATTTTTTGTCAAGAAAATTTTCAAAAATTATTTGACAAATATTGTTTGGAAAATGGTGGCGGTAGTGGATCCAGTAGTGGAGATCACGATATTGTTAAGAACAAGGAAGAGAGCATTCATGATGGAGATAGAGGTCTCAGTGATTGAGATAAAGAGCAAATATCGGACAATACTCATGATTTGGGCGAGTAAACTCTATTTTAATGAAAATGATGTTTCGAATTCTCAAATATTTTACCCTTAACTTTTACCTTCAATGAATACAGGAGAAGAAGAAAGATTATGGTAATGGTGGAGGTAGTGGATCCTGACTGTTGATGGTGGAGATCTTAGTTTCGTTGATGGAAATGAAGGCATTGTTATTGATGGTGATGATGATGTTGATATGGCCGAGCAATAACAAAAAAATTTAAAAAAAAATTGATACATTTATGACAAAGAAGAATAAATTGAATTGTCATTTAATAAACCGACTAGAGTGTCTGGAAACTCTATATTATATGTTTTTAACTAACTGTACTAATATTAATATTGTTGATGAAATGCACCCGAGACCCGACCAACGAATCGGGTACCAAGCTAGTATAAGGTTAAATTTTTTCAATAATCTCTAATCCTCCCTCGTTTTGACAAAATTCAACGATAAGATTAGATCTATTAATGTGTGGTCAGGAATATAATTAACATGGTGCTAACCTTTACAAAATTAGCATGATACTAATCTCTAAAAGTTAGGATATAGTATTAGGTTATAGCGTGATGCTAATCTCTAAAGGTTAGGATAGTATTCGCTCCGATCGCCGCATGCAACGAATTGCTAGCTCATGTGTCGGATTGTATTCAGTTCCTTTGTTATACATTACCCTTTAGATTAGAACTAGTAATGTGTGGTTTAGCGTATGGTTATTATGGTGCTACGCCACAAAAGTTACCATAGTATTCGCTCCAATCGCATATGGAGTGATCAGTCTCTTCATTATTCATATGATGCAACTCAATACAAACTCAAGTAAACTTTTGTGTTTTATTAGTAAAACCAGTGTTGTGAAGACCGAACCGATCGATATGACTACCAGCTCAATGTAGTTTCTTGATATATATAACCACCATACATGACCCAGTTAGGCGGATGTTGGTTTTAGTGGGACGAGCGGCTTAAACATTCCAACAATATTGGTGAAAATTTTGTCATTGCTAAGATTTCAAACCAAGTTCTCTTATTGATAACTATGCGAGTATACTTGGTCTAAAGTACTTCCTATTTCGAAAAAGATCAAGACATTATTACAATTTAAAATTATTGTAGAAAATGTTCACAATCAATCCATTGCATTTTATTTTGGAGAACATTCATAGTTAAAAATTAAAACATTTTGGAGGAATATATTAGTAATGAGTACCCATGTTTGTTTATGAGTAATTTATCCTATTTAGTTTATGGTTTAGCACTTAAATTTTGTTGTGTTATGGTGCACTAATTAATTAAAGATTTAATACTGGTTAAACCATAAAAATGCGAACCACTTACTATATTGATCCATACTCGGATTCGATTACATTGAGTACCCATCTTGACTCTGACAAAACTGAGCAGCCAAATGATAAACTGACTTGACAGTGTAAACACTAGATAGTGTCATACCAGCTCGTCAGGGTTTGCCAAAGTAGGTAAGGGAATAGACTAAATCAGGAAATTGTATCTTCATCAAATAACTTATGCAACCTAACAACATTCCAGATCATCGTCAGACACCATATCGTCGGTCAAAATTTTGACTGTTGACTACTAACGATCAAAGTTAATGGAAATCAAACTTTGAGACATAATTGACATAGGATAAACATAGAGATACAAGCAGTGGCGTAGCCAGGATTTTATTCAAGAGGGTGCCATAAAAATTTACATATGCAATCTCATGTATCATATAGTAAAATGATTCTAAACTATATGAATCGTCGAGAATATCAACATTTCACACTTAATGTGTCCCACCAAATAGCCATTCACAATTTTAGTTCAGTTGATGCTAAGGTTGGTCAATCGTTTCATTGCATAATATGTTATCAATTTGTGCATTGACAACAAAGAGTAACAAATCAAATCTATACTCAAAATAAAATACATTGATGAGAACTAATTTTCTCTTTCGACTATCGTTATCATAAAGATTTAATGATTTCATCTAATAATATCCACGATCTTATCCATTTTGATAAACTGGAATGTATTAATGTAGAAATTAATAAATAGAGTTAATTTATATAATTTGTTGTGTTTGATGATAGAAGATTGGACGATTGAAATTAAAATTTAGAATTTAAATATCCTTTTTAACATACTAATACTAATACAACTAATTTTTGTGCTTTTCTCGTATGAGGCTAAAAGATAGTTATAATGTTTTAGATATATGAATGAACGAAGTGTTAAAGTGAATTAGTATAGATCATAAGTTATAACACATATTCGAGTGGGTTTGGTGCGGATACTTAAAACCAAAACCGTATCAAACCCCATTACCGTCTTTGTTGATTTCCAAATTCCAACTCCGGCAAGAGACGCTCCATAAGGACCTTAAACTTCAACTCAACGATTACAATTTGCAGAACACAACCAAATTGCAAGAAGGTCAGAAGGATGAGGTTCAGGTGATGTTGATGTAGAAGATGATTTAACACCACCAAATTGCAAGAGAGCAACAGAGACAAAACGTCATGGCCAAAAAAAAAACCCTGCAGAATAGCACATTACATGGCAAAAGACACCCAAACCAATAGCCAAGACATGAGAACAACACATATATGCATATATATGAAGGTTTATATAGATTCCTGTTACCCAACTACTGCTATGCTCTACTCAAAATATAAACCGCACTCCTACTACCAGTCATAAGTAACATCTGAGTGCTTCGGCAGGAGACTAAGATCTCAGGGAGCAAACAGGATCAACAAACATCCCCACAACGCCATAGAAGTGTGACACAAATTCCAAGTCACATTTGCTCTAATCCACCTTCATCCCCACCGACCTTTAACCGCTTTGACGGAGGGAGGGAAGAGGTCGCTTGATCGTTCCCATAATCCTTGGCTCTCCCCAATCGTGAGCTCCTCGCCTCCTCTCCAAATAAAAGCAGACTTAGTTTCCTCTCGCTCTCATCATCGCTTGATTCCATCTCCTTCTCTTTCATGATCTTCTTTGTCACTTCATTAGCATCCCTTGCTTTCATCCCCCACATGTCCAGCCTCTCCAGCATCTCCTCCTCCTCCTGCCAAACCAAGTTCAAACCCCACCAATCACTGTCATAATCATAAGCATTTGTCTTCAGTTTGTTGTGCTCACCCAAGTTCACCCTAACATTATGCACACTTAGTAACTCCTTGACGACATCGAGTGAAGTGTAAGAGATCGACTCGATTCGCAACTCGTCTTTGTTCAAGCCCTTTAACACAATCAACACATCAAAATCCTTCTGCTGTTTCTCCTCCACATCAAACCGTTCGAATTTCATCATCTTAATATCTTCACATTTGACAACCAGGAATGGCAGCGAAGTCATCTCGACAAGGTTAAACCCAGCTACCTTGAAGACTGACGGAGACTCACTCCCTTGCAGCATCCCTTCAATGCAAAGAGAAGGATCGAGCACCTCAATCTCAATTCCCATGCATGACGCATTCACATACCTCACAAATTTCATCCATTCCCGTAAATATTTGGGGCCCCTTGGTGCTTTCCCGTCCTCTTCTCCACGAAACACTCGCTTCTCATCAACCGCTTCAACGTAGAACTGAATATCCGTGGTCATTTTATTACCAACCTCTATCTGGTTGTAGAGACAGAAGTGCATCATTAGCCCATACGGTGATTTTGTATGGTAGTAGAAGGCAAGTTTGATGTTGGCAAACATAATATCAGGAAATCCTCCCTCCTCCTCCTCCTCCTCGCCTGTATTAGCATCATCATCTGCGTCATCATCTGTATCATCATCTGTACTATCATCTGTACTACCATATGAGCTATCATCTGAGCTACCATCTCTGATATCATCTCTATTAGCATCTGTATTTTCTGGCCATTGATCGACGTAACGAAAACCATTGGCATGAGCTTCTAGAGCTCCAGCCCGCTTCCTTCCAATTCCAACCCCACCAAAATGAGGGTGGCAAATCCAAAGACCAGGCGATCTCAGTGGCCTGCTCAGCAGCTTCAATTTCTTAGGAGGAGACACAGCCTTCCTAGGAGCCAGAGCCTCAGCTAGATGTTGCCTCCAATTCGATTCCTTCTCAGGCATGATCAGAGACGACTCCTTCTCCTCCTCCTTTTCTCCCCCTCCTCCTCTATTGTCATGGTCGCTATCTTCACTTAGTGTATAAGTTACATCTTGAACAGCATTAGAACATGATTGGGTTACCACTGCGGCACCTTCAGCACAAACAACCACCGTATCAGCAAGCAGCAATGAGAAGCTGTTCTGACCTGCTCCTTTCAGATTTTCGAGACCAAGACAGACGTTGAAAACCATCCCAGCTTTCACCAACCGACCATTCGTTCCATTAAGATCCAGCACTGATTCCTGCAATTCCAGACCAATCCCTGTCCCAACAGATTTTGTCAAGTGCTTGACCAAATAAGGAGCCTCCAAACCAATTAAGGAAGAAGCTGCCACATATGCTGCACCAACTCGGCTGCCAGGTCTCAAGGCAGCAATGGCAGCTTCTTGTGCCTTGAGAATGACCTCATAAGCTCTAGTCTGACAAGGATTAGGATCAACCAAGAAAGACCTAGCCACATACGAGCAGTAACCCTTGTACCGGGATCCAACCGAACATTTTATCACATCACCAGAATCATAGTGCGTCAACTCATCATTCGCGCGGTAGCTCTGAAAATATGGATGGCAGCAAGCATCAACATTTCGAGACTTGAGCATCACACCGGCTTTAACAGAAGGCTGCAATATGGCCTCCTCAATCTCATCTAGAACCGTCCTATCTACATCTTTCTTCTTCTCATTGTGATCAATGACCTTCTGAAGCTTGGGAACTACAACATTGTTCATCACTTTCGCAGACAAATAAGCCGCCCTCTTAACACAGACAAGCTCGCCTTCTTCCTTAACAACAAACAAATCACCCAATCCAGCTGATACATCAGCAGCTCGAAAACCCTCAATCCCCAATTTCTCACTCCACTTCTCCAGAACCCTATCCCCTTCACCAGCCTCTGCTGCAATATGGCCAACAATGGAGGGACCCATATTATGATACACAGGAGGAAAAATAGAGTTCATGATAACTGACCCGTCGCCATTATCACCGCTCTTCTTATTCCATACATGAATCAGCACTTCGACCCCAACAGCATACTTGGCAGCTTTTCTCAGAAGCTCAAAAGAGCCGGACTTCTTCTTGCTGCACAACAGATGAATCTGTTTCTTCATGAACACCATCACAATTCCAGGGAGCTCGTACCCAAAGAACCAAATGCTAAAAGCGGAAGACATTAGCGATCGGCTGGTCTCCGAATGCGGCAGAGTCTCTACGACAATGGCGTCCGCAGATGCCCACAATTCATCTTTGTTGCCACTCCAATGAGAGTACAGAACCTTCAAACGATCACTAAGCTTGGCGAAACTAACCAAGACTCTAGTATTCATGCGAGTCCGGTGCCGATGACGAGCCATGGCGAGCCAGGAGCCAAAATCCCCCGATCGCACAAATGTATACCGCAAAATCAACGGGGAGACAGAAAAGCTAAACTCCGTCGTGAGAGAACGCCCGAGGGAAACTGGTTTTCGCGACCTTATAAATCAAACCGAAAAAATAGCAAGGATTGAAAACCATACCGTTTTAGCGATATAAAACGATTAAAGAACACTTAAACCACAGTTTCAGCATAAAATTTCCTATCACTAACTTTTCCGATACAGCCTCCGTAATTTTTCAATCCTTGAAACTGGCTGGCATCTCAATGTTGATACTTAAACTTAACCCTGAAGTGAATTCATCAAGCTTATGTGCAACGGATACCGGTGCTTGGTTACAGTCAATCTCAGTTTTGATGTGATCTCACGAAACACTAGCCAAAAATGAAAAACCAACGGGACAGAGACATTCTAGAAAGGTAACTTTACAAGCCAAGACAGTTTTAAACGTAACACTACTACTAACGACACTAAACTATGAGAGCTGCATTTTCCCCTGGGGCCTGAAGCAAAAGGGAAAATAGTAAATACACGTAACTTGGGGTTGGTCTAGTCTGAAGAGCAAGCCACTACGCTTATCTTCCTCTAAAATGTCTAGCTGTTGGGTCAATTTCCTTCTGCTTCTTCTCTATTCAGTATTCACCCATGGCCTGAAGTGGGGAAAATCCTGCAGAAACTCTAAGCTAGCTAGGATATCCAATCCATTGTTAACACATTTACAAGGGAAGTTGGTTGCTTTTCTGCTTTGGCTTTCTTTGCTGTTTGCAGCAGCTTCTGCTCCCTCCAACTGACATCCTTGAGGTCGGAGTAATGCCACTAGCGAGTCTTGCATTTCTCGTTGCAATCAACAGTAGAACATAACCCTCTTCACATTCTCCTTCAAGGCTGGTAACGGTCGCACACCGGCTTCTCCTGACAGCCGTGTGTCCTTGCTGCCGGTTGATGATCCATTCTCTTGCATCTGTGGTTCTGTATAGAACCGCGCTCGGAAGGCTGCCAAATGAGCATAATATGCCGGCGGAACTACAAAATAAGACACGACCAACTGATCAACCAATCGATCCATCAAAATCTGTAACTGGTACGTTTGAAAGGAAGGAGTAGTTTGAATGAACAATGTGATTGAAATCTAGCTTCTCCTGCTGGTACCAATTCGCTACTCACCAACTGAGACGGAACGGGTGCATCTAGCATAAGTGTAACAAAGATTGTTTGTTAAGGACTGGATTCCATCTGCTGTGAAGTTGTTTTCATCCCATAGAACATGGTAGTGAGCTGGCCTGCTTGTCCCCTGGCCAAGACAAACAGTATAAAAGCATTTTCACCCATTTAACACAACATACTACCAATGATATTTCAAGTTTTTAAATGTCAGAACCAGAAAAGCTCAAGTATTTTCTTATTGTAGTTTACCTGGATTCCAGCATGACTACAAAGATAGAAGTCGAATTCACTTGGGTGGCAGATCTTGGTATCAACCACCGTGCCTGAAATATGAAAAACAATATAAAAAACATCAGTAGAGAATATACATCACAAGAAATATATTAACATGGTTAGTGGAGAAGGTAAATAAGAGAATGGCTATCCAAGGATTTTACCAGGCAATATGTTGCCACTTTTGTCTGTACTACTCCTGTCCCTATGGTTATTGGCGAATAATCGAGTGTGGTGGCGCTTCTGTACTACAATGAAAGTCACTGGAGGTTGATAGTTTGGTTCCAGAGAAGCGCAAGCCTGCAAAGAGAACATTTTTCAGTCTACTATGGGCTGGCTTCTTCAGCGTGACTACAAAGAAAAAACCTGAAACATAGCATATCTCCAAATCTTACCTTGCGAATTGCATCCAGCTCGTAGAGCAAGACCTGATAAAATTGACCTTCACTAACTCCATCTCTGCTCAAGGTGGCATGAAACATCCCATTGCAGAATCGTATTAGCAAAGAGTACCAAGCTGCATTGTTGCATGAACGCTATACCATGCACCACAAGAAATACTGACCTGTAGAATATTATTCGCAATGGCTTCTGTCCGGTTGCCTTCCTGAAGGAAATCAGAAGATCCCTGCAAGGTAGGGTACAGAAATGAAATTTTTAGACTCAAGCTTTCGGTACTTCAAGAAATATTCTAGCTGGAGTTAAGGAGACGACAACCAGACCTGATCATGCCGCCACTAACAGTACCCCGAACAGGATCTTGCCATGTTTTGTATAGATCTTGTATGAGTTCTTGCCTGTGAGCTTGAGCACAAACTAATCCAGCATATTTGGTCACCTCGGGCCAATCCTGTGAAGCTACCACCTGTAGACGTCAACGTACGAGAAAAGGATGAGCACACCCAATCTCAAGAACCACAGAGAAACATGCCCAAATAAGAACCAAAGAGTTATTTTAGAAGTTTACAGCTGCAATGGAGGGGCTTGAATCTTCCCCATTCTCCGGATGAGTCACATCTGCGCCAAATATTATGGTTGGTATATCGCTCACTAATGGTATTCTGCAGCTGATAGCATCTAAAAGCACAGTGTTCCTTCCACCCATCTGCAGCAAACGGATTACGATACATATAAGATGAATCAGAAAGTACAAAACTACTATCTAAGTTGGCAAAGACTCATAATGGCGTTTCCAGAGATTTCAGAGAGTACTTGAGGACATAAGAAGAGGTGGAAAAAAAGTTGCTACAAACCTTGACATTGATCTTTAAGGACACATTAGCCAAGTACTGCTTGCTGATCTTGAATACATGCTTCGTGAGGCAGCATTGCGAGATTAAACCAAGATCAGTTTCACATATTCTCTTGAGGTCACCTAAAAAAAGCCACATTGAGTCACTTCTAGTTCATATACTTGACACCTCAGTTAAAAAGTCACATTGAAGAAAGAAGGGAAGATGACACTTCTAGTTCATATACTTGATAGCACAGAAACTAAATGCATGGGCGTGTTACGGACTCCCAAGGTTCAAACTTGCATACCATATAAGGTACCGTTGTTGTCTGGTAGAATAGCTAATAGTAGTTCCAGTTCTTTCCCCTTGGTCTTGTTCATCGATGCATTGAAGACATGCTTCAAAGCTTTTTCTACTTGCTCGGGCCTGGCATTGTAGATAGGGATTACAGGGTCTGGATTGAATTCCTGCCAAAAAAAATAACAAAGAGGCAGACATTAAAATGTCTTCCACCTCTGCAGTATTGCATTCTGTTATCAAGTGTCAAGAAGTGCAGGTGGTGAAGGAACTACCATACCATGCCAGAAACTTGGCACATTTGAGCAAGTTCATTGCAAAATCCACGAGCAACATTTTCTTGTACACTCCTCGAGAAATTAATGCAAGCCCATCGTTTCACATTCATTCCATTAATCATTTTCTGCATATGACAACACGCAAAAGAGGTCAGAGATAATAAATAGAGGCATTAGACATTAATCAAGCTCATAGACTCTGGCCAAAAAAAAATGTGAAAGGTTTATACCTTGTTCATCATGTTCCATTGACCAACCTGAGGCAAACAGTCTTTTTCCTTCCCTGTGTCGTGATATTTCAGCTGCAAAATAAGAGTGAATATTATATGGGTTAATGAAGGTGATTTCACTTCAACGTAGAAACCTGAAAATAGGTAATGAGATGTAAGAAGAATTTACCCAAGGGGCAGGGAGGATTCGAGCCTCGACGGATGCTAGCTTTTCACTTATTTTAAGTCCAAACTCTTTTGCATAAGGGTCTTGATCATATGCATTATGCTGAACTGTCTGCATGTGTACAAGAACACAGGACAAAAACCCACATTTGGACTTTCAGAAACACTGTTGTTAACTGTTTGAAAAGGACAAAGACAAATAAAAAAACACATCAGAAGTTCCACATTCTTACCTGCAAGATGTCATTTTCTCGATCCCTAGGCCTTTGACAAGTAACTTTTAGCAGGGCGGTAATTTGTTTGTCATTTAACCTTTTCGTGTACCTCTGCCCCTCAACAATCTTGCATGCCTATAGAGTACAAAAACAAACAGTTCCATTCAGGAGTACTTTCAAAGCATTTGAAAACCAAAACATGAAAAGAACAGTTCAAACGCATCTCTTTCTAATCATGCTACCTCCATGGGTAGATAGTTTGCCTTCTTCTGGTTCCCCACTTGAAGACATGGAAGGTGTGTATGTTGGATGGTGAAGCCATACATCTCTTGGAAGTACTCAACAACCGATTTCATGGTTGAGTTGTCATCTACAGGAAATCTGAACATACAAAGTAACAGCCACTTGAGCAACTAGGAAATCCACTAATTTCCTCAACTTCCTCAGTATATACAAACAAGCAACAAGAGAAAGGGAACTCACACTAGCTCTCTTGTGGGTTGAGCTGTTAGTCCTGAGACGCGATATTTACGTCGAACGTTCCCTCGGTGAGTAACTTCAACTTTTACCCCTCTAAGAGCCTTTTTAATCTGCTCCCTCATAGTGTAGCACAAGAATCCAAATTTAAGTACAGATAAAAAGGAAACTAGAACCACCCATATCATGATATCAGTGCTATTATGCACCAGAGGGAGGAAAAGAGAGTACCTTCACACGGTCAGAATCAGACAATGGCCTCGACAACACATCTTTACCAAGAAGCTGAGCTACGTACTCCACCACAGGAAGGGGCTCGATAAATGCAGCAGAAGCCATATCTATTTTCAAACAGAAAAAGATAGATCATCATCAAGGAAACCTCTAACGAAATTCTGGTTTCCAAATATTTGTCAAACATTAATCTACTATACCAATATTCAGTGAGAGGCCCATTTGAGTAGGCCTTATGCTCTGGTAGAATCCGCACCATGACTCCAGACCCTCACCCAGTCTTTGAGGCGCTCTAATATCAGGTGAAAAGAAGGATCTACCTATGGGACAATACCTTCTCAAAATGCAAGCAAAGTTAGTCTTATCGCTAATTGACAAACTGATAATCGTGCCTAAAGATGAGGATGTAATGTTTTACCTTTTCGAGGAGAGTTCTCTCAATACAATGTCAAGAATTTGGAGAGCTTCCTGGGGAGCATCAGCACGTTTACCAGCCAGAAATTGACCCAAGTGGTACATGTTAGCCCTTGCAACAAACTTAATGGCCACTTTGTATTCTCTTTCCCTCCTAAGACAATTGTGTATGGATTCAATATTCATCAGAATTAAGTTAAGCAATTACAGATTACCATAGTTGAAACGAAATTCATATCCATTGGGCCAAATATTTTACTACACTGCATTTCTTATCTCCTCAAACACAGTAAAAAATATTGATCAAGAGAAGGGGGAGAATGGATTTTTGCTTACTTGGGACCATTTACACCATCCTCATCATCAATAAGCTTAATGGTGAACTCCTTCCAAGCAAAGGGAAGCTGACCAGCTGTGTAAAGACTCTTTCTGCCATCATAAGCAGGAAGTCTCATTCCTAGATCAGAGTCTCTGTGGAGCCTCACTAGCTCTGCCATTATAGCTCTATTAATGGTTCTTGATGCCACCTCAGGAGTGATAGTAACCTGCCAAAGAGAGCCAGAGTAGGGGCTCAGACAGATGGATTTAAAGGGGAAACAAACAATAAGAACAATAATAATTACTAGTAACTGAGACTCATAAATGCCCAGTAAGAACCAGAAGAAAAAATACAGTAGAGCTGGAGACAGAGCATTCATTAAACTTTTGTCCATCAAACAGCAAAAGGAGGAAGAGGAAACCTCAAATAACAGCTTCAGCATGTCCTATTTTGCAAGTGACATCTAGTTTCACCCACAAAATGAGAAACCCAACTGGAAAAAAGTTTCCAATAAAACAAAGTAAAAAAAAAATAACAGAGAAAGGAGGAAAGAAACCCATTTAAAATTTCATGAGTATGCTGAGAGAGACCATTGAAGAGAACGATTAAAAGAAGAAAGAACATCATATGCATGCTCAGTGTCAGATTCTTAAGGGCCCCCAATTCATGCAACCCAAATCCCAAATCAAATCTTAAGCCCCCTCATTCCCTCCCAAAGAGAAAAATCCAAAATCATAATGAAGTAAAAAAAACCAGTCAGTACAGCGATGGTCATCGCATCAAACAACCTCAACAAAACCAAGGAAGAGAAAAGGAAAAGGAAAAGGAAAGTGGGGGGAAAATAGAGATTCTTACATCATACTGATTTAAGTCCTTGTTTGGTAACTCTGCAAAGAAGTGATTTGCCTTGACAACACACTTTGTCCCAAGCTGACCAAAGCCAGGCCTTTGAGCAAAGTTCAAAGACTTGCTAGAGGTGGGAAAACCCAGCTGCTGCGGCTGACCCGTTACCATAGCTCCACAGTTTTCAATTGACCCATTTGGAAGGGACCCACCAACACCATCATCATCGTCGCCTCTTCCATTGGCAGGCTTGTGAGCCACAGTACATGGCCTTGAGCTTGGCCTCATAAAGGCCTCAGCTTGATCAGATTTCCGGCCCCCTCTGCTTCTCCTTCTCCCTCTGTTCTTCCCGGCAGCAGGAGGCGAGCTTGAGCTCTCATTCTGGGGCTTGGTAGTAGCAGCAGCATTATGGGTTTCCTGGGATTGAGATGGTGGCCCTTTCCCATTCTGAGCAGTCTTGCGGTTTTTTGCAGGCCTGTTTGCAACGTTCTGAAACTGAGGCTTGATCACTAAGTGCTGCTCCGAGCTCTCTTTCATCTGTCCTATTGGCATTCTTGTCTAGCTTTATAACAAAACCACTCTTAACACTTCCAAGGTTGTTTTTCACGTTCACCAGACACCAAGAAAGCTACTCTGCTCTTCTAGCATTCGCACATTTGCTTCCCAAACTACAACCAAAGGGCAGGAAACAAAGAAGTGAGGGAAGGAGAAAAAAATTGCATGCTTGCCAAAATGAAAGGCAAATATAGCAAATGAGTAGTGCTAGATGGAATACGCAAACAAAAGTTGGACAAAGACATTTGCATTTGAACATTTTTCACTGTTCCTCATGTAAGATTTGTGACAGGAGACCCAGACAGATTCACCAAAGTTTTTGGACACACAAAGCATTTTGAGAAGAGATTGGATAACCCAGAAGCGGAGAGTTACAGTTCTTGTAGCTGACTGTTCCTGATTTGGATGGACGCCCACCCACAGATACAGATGGAACTTGGAAATGGGTAATTGATAAGAACAGTGCTCTCCATTACGTGAACAGTACTGAAGGCTGAAGATATAAAATAATCAAGTATTTATGCATTTTTTTATACTTTTGTGGTAGTGGTGTGGATGGGAGTGATTAGAAACTAGTAGTTTTAAAATTGGGTTCCCATGCTTTGAATGAATCTAGTGGTGCTCATTCTTTTCTCGAGCTGAAGTAAGGGGGAAATGGAGAGAACACGAAACCCCAAAACCAGAACCAGGAAGAAGAAGAAGAAGAGCAAGAAGAAGGAATAGTGAAATACCCTCCATGAGTATCCCCGAGGCATTTAGAGGGTTCCATTTTTGCGAAAATCACAGTTGCATGAGGGAAGAAGGAGAGCCAAAAGGAAGCAGACAAAGGGAGAAGCTTTCAAACTAATCTTTCTCTCTCAGAGGATTATTGCAAACACTTGGTGGAGAAACCGAAGAAATGGACGGAAATGTAGACCCTTCTCCAGTAAGTTCTCCCCCCTCTACCCCCTACAACCCACAAAAGTGCAGGAAGAAAGAATAGAAATCTAACAAGCAGAAAAGGCCAGAAGCAGGGCATATATTGAAGGGATGGAAAGGAAGGAAGAAGCAAACACAGACAGCAGCAACCCGGCATTCCAAAACATTAAATTCTTGTTATTCCATCAACAGAGAGATTTGGAAACCCACAAGACTACACATAGAAAAGGCCAAAAAGAACAAGAAGGTGTTATGCAAAGGAGGAGGAGGGAAGAGGAGAAGAAGAAAAAGGAATAAACTTTGAAAAGGGCCAGTGAGTGAGTTGAGTGAAATCACTATCCCCATATCCCAAACCCGAATTTATTGCTCTGCTGCGAGATCAGCCGAAAAAGAGAGCAAGCCAAATAAATAAATTGAATTGGGGCCAACACTGCAGCAAGAACAATAAATACAATCAAACCCAATACTACACACTCACCAAAGATCACAACACCACACTCCGGCTGGCTGCTTGAGAGATATATGGAAGTGGGTTACAGTGAAGGAAAGTAAAGCTTGGGGGCTTTGCTTCAGTTTCGTTGTTGGGAGGAGAAATGGATTGAGAATGGGGAAGAAGAAGATGATGATGATGATGAAGGAGAATGAAGAAGAATCCTGCCTCTTTTAATACACGCATGCAAAGTGCTTTGCTAATGCTGCTAGCAGTAGCAGCTGCTTTTGGGGAGAGTGTGGGTAATGGCGAGGAGGGGGTTTTTTTTTTTTTTTTGTATTCTTTATCACGTGTTAAAGGCTTGTGAAGTCTGCCAAGGTAAGGCCCTTTGTTCCCTACTCTGCTGCTCTCACTCACTCCCCTCTCTCAGCCTTTATAGAGAAAAAGAAATTGCCTTTCTTCTTTCCCTCTCTCTCTGTTTACGTTTTTTTTGGTTTATGTTCAATGGGGAAAAAATGGTCGCTTTCTTTTTCTTCGGTTTCTGCTAGCGGCTGGGGAGGCGATGGTGGCTGCTTGCTACAGAGCAGCCTCGGGGGAGCATTTTTAGCAGCAGAGTGAGTCTCCCATTAGCCATTATAGGTTGGATAGTAGTAGACCCATTTTAATAGACGACAAAGAGGCTTACTAACAACATTTACCAAAGCCATATCCGTAGTAGTGTGGTGTGAATAACTTCTTCAGGCATTGAGCTAGAGTGGGGGAAAATTTATTATAAGAAAAAAGGGTGCAATTGTTAGAAACAAAGCTTCTAACGGGTTTCTAGATCAGATCTAGAGATTGGGAATTTAGGGTTTATAGAACAGAATTGGGGATTTAGGGATTTGAGAAGAGAATTTGGGGAAGAACAGAGATAGAATAGCCGAAGCCTTTAAAGCAAAAGATAGACGAGATTGAGAGAAGATTAGGGATTTGGGGAGATGACTTTTCTATTAATTTCTGCTTAATCTCATGAAAGACCCAAAGTACATATATATAGGGAAATACTAGAAAACCCTAAGAATAAACCTAATTCTACTAGAAGACTACTAATCATATTTAATAAAACCTAATAATAACAATAATGATAATTATGGTAGAAACCCCGTTTTCTTAAGGAAAACGTGTTTCTAACATCTCCTCCCCCTTCAGACCAACCTTGCCCTCAAGGTTGACCGACTTGATCCACTCTTCCTTCCTTCTCGCGCAATCCGCACGTTGACTCCTCCATTTCTTGCGCTTCCGTTTCTTCCAATCATGCTCTAACTTCGATATTGGGCTTCTCGCACCAACCTTCTTGTGTTGATTTAAATCTTCAACCTTCACTTCTATGGGCCCACTATTTGCTTCCTTGACAATTTCAAACTTCAACCGCCCCGCTTTTGTTGACATAACAATCCAGCAACTCGAGAAACCCAATGGTTCGTTCTTGTTCAAGAACTCATCCTTAAATACCATCTCATCAAGGCTTTCATACACTTTCCTTGGAGCTAGCCCATGTATTATTTCTCCAATTGTTTTTAGGCTCTGTTCTACTAAAAGCCCACCCGGCAACTCCTTTAGCCCACCATTCTTTCCCTCCAAACCCATTCTCTTCAATTGGCAACTAACTTTGAGCCCAATCTGTTCTAGCACACTCAGCCCATAGACATGCTTGGCCCATTTTTCCCCAACCTTCAGCCCGCTAAGCTGCTCTTTTCGGCTCATAGAGAGCAAAACGGTATCTCCCTTCCTTCCTAGTCCAAAGCCGAAAATGTTGACTTCTTTCTCCAGCACACAGTCCACTCTCCTTGGCCCAACAAGGCCCTCAGCTCCATCCGAGCTCGCGGCCCAAACGACCTGTGCGGCCAACCTAGGTTTTGCGAGAGGAAGGAAGCTGCCGCCAACTCCCTCCTTCGTCTTCCTCTTCCCCGGCGCGCCGCCATTCCACCGATGGCCAGGTGGCCGATCCGACTCCGACGGCGCCTTTAGCTCCGTCATCTTCTTCGGCGATGGTCTGACATCAGGCGGCATCTTCTCCTCGCCGTTTGACGCGAGACCCGACGCCGCCGGCAGCTTCATGGCCATCCTCGTCACGTCGGTTCCCAGCTCTGCCTTCATGGCCTTCGCCGCCTCGACTTGAACTGCAGGCGACCGCGGCGCCCATTCTCCCTTCGTGGTCGGCGCCCGGATCCCCCAGGTGGGTTCCTGAATAGCACGAGAAGAGGCGACGTCGCCGCCTTTCTCCTTCATCGCCGGTTCCGTGTCGCTCCCTCCGACGATGACTTCCACCGCTTCGTCGGCCTCGGCGGACGTTGGTGGTCGCTCGCCGTCGAAGATTCGGGTCACCGTCTCTGCTTGCACGGTCGGCGACTCTTCGGAGCTCCAACGGCGTCCGATGCGGCGAGCCCGGTCCCGCAGCTCTGCCCACGATAGGTTCGAGAGCTTTGAAGAGCTCATCGTCGAACCAGTTGTAGAAATCGTCCCCGGTTGAGAGTTGTGGTGAACTCAATTCTCGAACCGGGCTCTGATACCAAATGTTAGAAACAAAGCTTCTAACGGGTTTCTAGATCAGATCTAGAGATTGGGAATTTAGGGTTTATAGAACAGAATTGGGGATTTAGGGATTTGAGAAGAGAATTTGGGGAAGAACAGAGATAGAATAGCCGAAGCCTTTAGAGCAAAAGATAGACGAGATTGAGAGAAGATTAGGGATTTGGGGAGATGACTTTTCTATTAATTTCTGCTTAATCTCATGAAAGACCCAAAGTACATATATATAGGGAAATACTAGAAAACCCTAAGAATAAACCTAATTCTACTAGAAGACTACTAACCATATTTAATAAAACCTAATAATAACAATAATGATAATTATGGTAGAAACCCCGTTTTCTTAAGGAAAACGTGTTTCTAACAGCAATGCCAAGAACAAATAAGTCCAAAAAAATGGAGCAATGTGTAAATAGCTTATATAGCTGAGGTGAGGATAAAAGAAAGAAGGCAAGCGTCCAGGGAAGGAGAATAATTCGAACTTGCAGAGTCCATCTTCTCACCCTGCCAGTGCCACCACAATTTCTATGACATTTATCAATATAATAAATTTTCATTTCCATAGTTTTTGGCATCATATATCTCAAACACACTACAAAAATGCACACTACACTAGGGGTCTCTTTTCTCTCACCATCTCTCAACTCCCTATGGAAATGCCATCTTCCCTTCGAAAAATTCTTTTGGCGATATGCCCAAGATCACACACACGCAGCGCGACCAAGCAAACAGCCAAACACACAAATATATAATTTTAAAAGTTTTCGAGTCATCATGATCGAGTAGTGTGCGAGTTAGGGGTGGGTGTCGGTTCAAACCGAATCGAACAAGAGCATATCAGGTCCCTAACATCATCAACAATGGAAATCGAATTACAATTCAATTCTGCTTAAAATTTCAGACAAAATTGAATTTGTAAGGCTAGCTAGTACGTGGGCACCGGGTCGTGCCGCCCACGGGCTAGCACGGCACGGTTAGAGCACGACACGAGCACGAGCACGAAGTAAATGGGCCAACCCGGCACGAGCACGAATAATTTATGGGCCGTGCCGGGCCTAAACTTCATTGGCACGGGCACGGCACAGTATATAAGTGGGTCATGTCTGGCCTAATATTTTCGAGACTTTATTGAGTATAAAAACGGACATGGTTCGAAAATAATATTTATTTGATAGAAAATAAGTATAAAAAGAATTATAGGTTCAAATATTACAAAACACAAGTAGAAAAATAATTATTTGTTGTTGTTAGAAGTGTCATAAAGATATATACGTAATTACTAACATAAGTAAAAATGGAAAAAGAATTAAACAAAGCCAAATCACACTCGCTATACTTTTAATTTTCTTTTCCCCCCTATTTGTTACTTTTCTCAAACATTATCGGTTAATACTATCTCCCCCCGTCCAATTTTCACCTTCTTTTTCATTCTCTCTTTTGTTTTCGTTCTTTTCATTAAACACGAATACGAGCATGGCACGAGCACGAATAGGCACGGCACGATTCGAACCGTGCACGGGCCTGGGCCGGGCCTAGCAAAGTTGACAAATGGGCTTGCATGGCACGGCACGAAAACTGACGGGCCGTGCCAAGCACGGCACGAAATAAATAGGCCCGAAGCGTGCTCTGCCTTCTTCCTTTTAAATTATTATCCATGCCTACTGCGTATGAAAGAACACGGATCTAGGTGTGCGATTTAGGGTTTAGGATTGGTATGTGAATTGGGGATTTGGGTGAGGAAGAATAGGGATTTAGGTGAGTAAGAAGCAGAAGCCGGTCTCCGGGTTGGAGGTGGCCGACGGCTAGGTGAGAGAGAGAGAGAGAGAGAGAGAGAGAGAGAGAGCTAGGGTTGAGAGAGAATGCTCGCTTGGCCCAGCTTCGGATTGGCCACCCAGCCCTGCCTGGCTCCATCGGGCCCTGGGTCCGCCCACCAGCCTTCCTGATCCGCGAAGTTCGGCTCATCCTCTTCGCCATCGAAGCCCAGCCCATCGAACTCGACCATCGTCTGCTTCCCGCAGGCCGCATAGCTCTCCTGGGCCGTTGGAGCGTGCAGCAGGCCTGGCCCACTAAACACCGGCTCGGCCTGACCCTCCCTTCCCTGTCCTCCGCCGCCTTTCGCGCTCAGCTCCGCCTCAGTCGCCACATTCGACTCGGTTGGTCGGCTCCCTAGTGTTGGCTCACGATTCTTCAGGACACCGATTAGAACCTCTCTCATAGTTTCTGCGAGGGCTCGACA